TCAAAAGCCCGATTGGTCTTATTATCTGGGGAGGTCTTATTTTCAGGGAAACAGGGTAAGTAGAGAACTTTTCTCACCCTCCTGCCTGAATATTCTGCTAAATAACTTCAGAGCTCTGAAGAGAATTATGGTATAATGGGAGTCAAGCACAGGTAAGCGAACAGCACCAGTCCATAGCTTCTCTAATGAAATAATTTACAAAAACAACATGGAAAATGAAAGAGTATTTTAAAATGTTGCTCTTAAGGTGATTTACTAACCTTCGGCCCATAGAAAGCTCCATCTCCAGGGTTCAGTTCCCATTTTTCGTTGAACTCATTCAGGCTGTTTTCAAGTTGCTAGTGGAAAATGATATGCCAAATGTTAATGGATTTATTCTAAGCAAAATGACTGATTGTTTCTCTTCTTCACAACACAAACGTTAGAGGAGTGTGTGTGTGTTTGTGTGTATGTGTTTGTATAGCCAAGGCATGTTGTGGCCCGGCAGCATAGCTGGCAGCAAATTCAAACAGTGAGGAGGTTGGGAAGGACCAGTCCTGGAGTCTGGGGAAGGCTCTGATGAGGGCTCTGTGTTGGAGGCAAAGAGGGAGCCAGAGCCCTATGCCAGTTATCAGCTGCCTTTGGAGTCAGACATCAGTGAGGCAGACGAACAGCTGGAGCCTGTTCCCAGTGTGCACATGCACAGAGTTGTCAGATGAAGGGAACAGCTAAAGAACAGGGGTCGACTTGGAAGTAAGACCACAAGTGGACGATGAATGGCCTCTCCCAGAGAGGAAATAAAAGAGGAGCGAAAGGGGAGTGGAGTTTTCAGGAGACAATTGGTTCGATTAATTGGTTCGTGACTCTCCAAGCCAGATAAGGTCTGTGACTGTAAATCCTCCCTTGAAAGACTTCGCTGGATGTGAATGAGCAGAATTCACAGCAAATTAATAAAAGGTTTTTTTGTTGGGACAAGGAGTTTGCTTCATGCTCTTGGGAAGCCTCGGTCAGAACAAATCAGTGTAACCCTGGTGATTTCTTTACTTGTTTTACTTTGTTAACTGCCTTGAGTTTCAAGAAGCTGGCAATATATCAGTAAATATGATATTCACCAAGCTAGGCTGAATCACAGTGCTATCCTATTATCTAGAAACTCTCTTCCTTCCAATCTCAGAATCCCTTAAGGTGGACTTAAAATATGCTGAGCATCAGTTAGTTATAGACTCAACATGTATTTTTAGACTAAATTTACTTTTAAGTGTGTTCCACTAAAGCTATTTTCCCTGGCAATGGATTCTGCCCTCTGAATTTACTACGTAGCAGAACCATTGAAATCTATAGTAGCCCAAAGTTCATGGCAGCCTACGGCAAAGATCAGAAGGAATCACCTTCGTGCTACAGTTCACAAAATTATATGCCTTTTAATAAAAGTTGTCAGTTCAAAAAGTTGTGCCAAACTTGTTCAGTTCACATTGCCAATCCCTTTTGGCCTCCTACATTTTGTCCCCCTCAATTAGGGGTGAGCTGCTATGGGTTCGCCTGGGCTCGGTAGAACCCACAGCTAATGTTATGGCCGGTTCGGAGAACCTCCAAATCCTACCCTTGGCTGGCCCCTCCCACCTTGCCATCCCACCCCGCCATCCCACCCTTCCCAGGAGTCTCCATGCAGCCCGTTTTGGATGCGAGGTACATGCAGGGCCTGCGTGGAGGCTTGGGGAAAATGAAGCTCCCGGAAGGCCAGAAACGGGCCCATTTCCTGCCTCTGGAGGGCATTGGGAGCCCAGGGGAGGAAGTTTTCACCCTCCTAGAGGCTCAAAGAAAGCCTCCGGAAACTGCCCCCCCCCAGCCATGCTGCAGGAGGCCGACTAGGCCACACCCACCATGGCCACACCCACCCAGCAACCGGGCAGAGAACTCGTTGCTCAAATTTTTGAAGCCCACCCACCCCTGCCCTCAATCCTCATGCTAACAGCTGTCCTGCTGTCTCTAATCTATATGGAACTTGTGCTTCTAAGGTTATAAAAAAAACAAACCACATAAAGAATGTGTTCTTTTTTTAATCCCCTCTAAGAAAAGGTATTTGAGGACACCAGAGACTGCAGGCTCAGTACAATTTAACCCCCATACTACTAACTGGAAATTATGTATTTGGACAGAGCTTACTTAAGACTGATTTACATTGGCCCACTTCCTACATTATTATAGGAAATAAATGAACAAACCGCTATATTTAGGACACAAATACCTTTTCAGCTTCATTCCACACTTCAATATCTCCAAGGAACTTTTCCGGACGGGTAGAGAGGTGAAGTTTGAAGGAAAAACCAAAGACTTCATACACGGTGCGCAAGAATTCCAGGCAACTTTTGATCTCCCCTTCAATCTGTTCACAAAACGAAAAGACTCAGTGCGATCAATATCCATTCGTTTTGATAACAGGGCTGCCAAACGCAATTTCATTGAGGGACACATCAGGGTTGTGTTTGACCTGGGGGGGGGGGGGGGGCGTGACCAGGGGGCATGGCCAGCTCGACATCACTTGTGTCAGGGACGCCTGTAGTGGCCTAAGTGCTCTGTCAGTGAAAACGGAGCTCGGGAGGGTTCGGGAGGGCCTGTGGCCCTCGAGCCTTGAGTTTGACACCCCTGCCCTAGATCATTTCCCACCTGCTCCATGGCGCAAAATATGTGAGCGTCATCTTGCTGGAACCTCCTCACTCGGGTGAGACCGGTCAGCGTCCCAGACAGTTCGTTACGGTGCAGAACTCCAAAGTCAGCCAGGCGCAGAGGCAGCTCCCTCCAAGACCTTGGCCGATGATCAAACATAAGACTAAAGAAAGTAAGACAAATAGTTGACATCTGACTGGGACGACATTGCTGAGAACAGCCATATGAAGAATCAAAAGCAGTCTTGAAAAGCAGATCCTTTTCTACAAATCTGCCAAGTTTCCCCAACCAGAAGTCCTGCAGGCAGGTTAAGGACTACAGTTTTCGGATTTCCAGTTCAGTAGAGGACAAGTTATCATTCCTTTTAGCTATTACGTTTGGCCCAAAGACCATGCTTGCTTTTGAAGTGGTACTCTAACGACCATTCTCTAAAAACACAGGTAGGGTAGGACAAAGCCCACATTTGATAAATTGGAACTGCATGTAATCAATTAAATACAATGAATACGGTTATTCTTGTGGTTTTGATCCTCTCTCCTGTTTCATTAAACAGTTCAATCTTTGGCAATCCTCCCTTGAAAGACCTTGCTGGATGTGAATGAGCAGAATTCACAGTAAATTAATAAAGGTTTTTTTTGTCGGGACCAGGAGTTTGCTTTCTGCTTTTGGGAAGCCTAGATCAGAACAACTAGCAGATTATCAACATGTTAGCTTTATCTTTCCCATCTAAACTGTACTGCGTTTATGGCAATCTATACACAGATTTATAAACACAAAACTGGGATCGTCCCGTGTTGACAGTTCTGTTTTCCAAAGGTATCAGACAGAAGAGAAGCAGCCAGCCAAGCACAACACCAGAAGGGGAGATACACTACATGTTTACCTAAACAGACAGGTGTCAGTTACTAAACTGATCGCAGCCACAGCAACGAAGCATTGCAATATGAGCTTTGGTGACAAATATTTGCAAGTATGTTCCAAGAGTAAGGTATTAAATTCTAGACCAATACAATACAATACAATAGCAGAGTTGGAAGGGACCTTGGAGGTTTTCTAGTCCAACCCCGTCTAGACAGGAAACCCTATACCGTTCCAGACAAATGGCTATCCAACATCTTCTTAAAGATTTCCAGTGTTGGAGCATTCACAACTTCTGGAGGCAAGTTGTCCCACTGATTAATTGTTCTAACTGTCAGGAAATTTCTCCTCAATTCTAAGTTGCTTCTCTCCTTGATAACTTCCACCCATTACTTCTTGTTCTATCCTCAGGTGTCTTGGAGAATAGTTTGA